ACTATTAATTAGAGCAGACACTGTAACTGCCACAAGAACGGATAGAAAACAAACAGATTTTTCCTCCACGGGTGTGACAAAGCGAAACCCCAGGCCTTCATGGGCCAGAGTCTACACTTTCATGATGATTTTTGCTGGAAAATCATTAATTAATCATGGTCAGGAAAAATCAAGCATTCTCTAAATTCATTTAAGTAGTATATATATTTGTGAGGTCCGCTAATAAACTTCCATCTTACAGTTTGTTTGTTTTTTGCTCTGTAAATATCTTCTACATGTTTTTGCATGTTTATATTTATAAAGCAAATCTATCTATCTATCCATCTTCCTCTAGTTATATTATATAATAGCCCCAGATCCATCCATCCATCATACTTCCACTATCCTCTAGTGGACCATCTTTAAACAGACACTCATTTGGAGATGTCAACAAGCTTTACACTTTGAAACTAATCCCTTCCTCACCTAAGAACCATAACATCTGAAGTATGATCCTTGTTCGTGTTCCATAATCAATGATGATAGCTTCTGAATGCTCACAATGCAAGGCTGTTCATGCTAGGAAAACATCGATGATTACAGAAAATGGACATTGTTTGAGTAAAGCCTGAGAGTTGTAGCCTTTTCTACTGAATGACTGTAAGGTTTTATTCCTGGAACAATCCCCCCTTCACAGGCAAGCATGGTTTTGTTGTAGACCTGTTTTCGATCAGGAAAAGTATTCTTCCTCTACAGCTACTTCACGATTGTTTCTCATTCCCGATGGAGAACTGTTATTTACCACCGAACGTTGTATTGTGTGGATGAATGGCTGCGAGTTGAGCTGTGACACCACAGAACTGACTCAACCCTGATTGTGGGATAGTACACAGCCCTTACAGGTGGACTCAAGGCTTCCTCTACTAATTTCTCCCCTCTTAAAATCAGGGCAATTATAGCGGCTATTGATAGGACGGAATACACCTGGGCAACCAACACTGCTCATACATCACAACAAGCCTTTAAGAACTTGTTTCCAATTTTTCTATTTTTTGTTGTCCGTAAATTGTCCAGCCCCCTACTGAGCCTAGCTTGCAACCATGTGCCCTGGTCGGGAATAGTTTGAAATGAAAACCTCGGTAGTCAACTGCCACTTAGACTGAAGGGGACTCTCTCCCATGTGTTTGTCGACCACTGGAACAGGATTGTTGAAGAATTGAAACACTTAATGCAAAGACCCCCTCCTATTCTTTCAAATTTTCCGAGTGATCATGGCAATTTAGATAAATGAATCGCTAAACAAAACATCCAAAATTCACACTAAGGAAGCCACCATATGAAAATTTCATTACAAATTGTTAGTAATCAGGACTGTCTGGCTGAAGCCTTTGTCAGAAATTAGCACTTATTAAATGACAAAACACACAGCATGATTACAATCAGGGACAAACTGTCAGAAATGTCCATTCTTTGAAACCTTTCCTTGCCAGATTTGACCAGCCCTCTTGGTCGGCAATCGGCCCCCTCCCGACCTCCTTGACATAACGTCACAGGGGGTGAGTCAGCTTCACTATGATGACAAGGCACCATTAAGCACCACGATTGTAATGACCATGTACAGCTACAGGAAAATCACAGTGTTTTAAGTCATTAATCAAACCACGGCTATGCTTTCCAGATATCAGCCAGCTATAGGCAGGTGCTGCCATTTTACTCACATTTCTCTAACAATCTCATCCCCATTAATTTCAAACACTCATTTTCTTTACAATTCATTGGTAATTGTTTCCACAAAAGGATAATAATATCTCGTATCCCTCACAAAAAAAGAAAAGAAAAAACTTTTGTTTTATGATAACTATTTTCTCATTTCATTATCTAGCTGTCAAAAATAGTTCCCACATCCATTTCTGACATGTAAAATTATTTTCTCATACAAACTTTACCAAATTACAAATCTCAACAATGCACTACTGCACGCCAAGACCTCTCCCACAATGCTAAGTCCGTAGCAGAGCCAGCCCACCCCTGTATGTTATTTCAAAAACGATGTTTTCCCGTCCCTATTAATCCCTGGCAGTCTCCAGTGTATTAATCTTTTGCTCTAACACGTGCCTCAATTCCACGAAGCCAGTATGAAGACCAACGGCTAGATACGGTCCAGGGGTAGCGATAATTGGGGAAAGCGTGGCCAACCGTGGGCCAAGGGTAAAGCTGCCACAAAGAGTGTGCGCAGCCAAGCACAGGGTCAAGGGGTCATGTTCAACACACACGAGGAACGGGAGGGAGGTATGGGTGGATGGATGGATGGACTACTGGACAAACGGATGGACTGATGGACAGATGATGACTATTTGGAAATATACTACATGACGTAGGTATATAATTATGACTGGCTGGCCTGACAAAGTCACCTCATTACACTTCACGTCTTATGTTTTTTATGCACAGAAGGAATTAGAAATAAATATATATAGATGTCATTCTTGCATAAAAAATATTGATGAATTCCAGGTAAGTGCATACAGGATAAATTTCAAAGTATGTTCCAAGTAGTTTTAAACCAATGCATACTGTAGGAATGATGTTTGATAGTGATAACAGTCATGTCTGACATATTACATGTACACTAAACATATTATGGGAATTAGTTTCCCATTGCATGCAGGTAAAAAATAGCATGATGATTTTGAAAACAGAATTGAATGAAAAATATCTATCAAGACAAGCCAATGAATGTTTTAGAAGCAGTGAAATGTGTCTCACTGGGATGCCTGTTGACGATGGTTGTTTAACAAGGTAATCAGCCAGGTTAACAGCCAAGAGAAATATTTGTAACTATCAAGCTGAGGTCAATACTGATTACATAACAGTGGATTCTGGACAAATATGATATTGATTCAGGTAGCTGGGATATAACTAGCCACATTGGAACGCCTGGCTCTCTGTAAGACTTTTGTAAGATTGTTGGTGATCGTGAGAAAACATATGGTAAGACGTCCAGTCTGGATCTCAATGCTTCCCTGTAGGGGAGGCTGATGTGCACAAGATGGACAACAAGCAGGACACATCTATTGTGTACGTCTGCGTCACTAAAGATTAACAGTATTTTGAAACAGTTGCAACTTTAACCACTGGCCTTAAGTCGAAGTCTAGGAAGATTTCAGTACAGTAAGTTCAGCTAATAGTAACACCTAGGTTTGCCTCCAAATCTAGTGTAAATGATGAGTAGACAATTGTTGGCTCGTAATAAGAATGATACTGATCATAATGTGTAGATATATAATTTAGCCAAACAGAGCTACATAAATATTACCCAAGATTTTCTGCCTCAGCTCCCAGAGCAGTATACAAGCTAACCTACCTGTGGTGAACCTGGAGGTTAACATTACTCTCTCTTGGAAACCACTGAAGGTTTTCGGCACAGATTGCACAAATATTAAACATAACATTAAAATCAAACCCATGACAAGCTGACTCTACTTTACTTGACAAAAGGGTAAAGATATATTTCATCATTCTGACTCAAGTATGTTAATCAAAGTTTAAATGTTTCAGAGTTGCAAAGTTGGTAATAAACGCTGGCTAATACACTCATACAATGTGTACATATATAATTTAGCCAGATTAAACCTTCAGTGGTTTCCAAGAGAGAGTAACGTTAACCTCCAGGTTCACCACAGGTAGGTTAGCTTGTATACTGCTCTGGGAGCTGAGGCAGAAAATCTTGGATAATATTTATGTAGCTCTGTTTCGCTAAATTATATATGAACACATTGAACAGTTTGATGATATTGATTACTGACTGGGCAAATGATTACCTACAATTTAAAATACCTTGTTGACTCTACTTGAACATATTTCACAAAAGTGTACTTAAACTATCAACAGTCCCTCAATGTTCAACTGAAGTGGAAAATAGTCTAAATAAATCTGTTCCTGAAAGGTACTGTCATCAAAGGCCACACATATGCCCTGTCTTATACTGCATTCCTGTGTGACATACACACGTGAGGGGTGGGGGGGTAGCCTAGTGGTTAAAGCATTTGCTCATCACTCCGAACATCAGGGTCCCCTGCTGTGATATTGCTGGAATATTGCTAAAAGCGGCGTAAAAACACACTAACTCACTCACTCACGCCGTACAATGTCCATACTACTCCACACAAGTCAGAGAAAGCCCAGTTCTTTAACATAGCCACCGTTAATATGTCATGCCATGCTTCAAACATATCCAAAAATAACGGATTAATTATAGTTTCCTTTTAGAAATGGCTGTTCTCTTACTTGTAATGGGTAGTATATACACCATGTATTTATTGTTATGACATTATCAAAGTCATGCATTCTGTGTCCCACTAGAAAGCGTCATAATAACTTCCTCTGTGATCGGGTCTCATGAAAGTTCAAAGACACTGGAAATATAAATAAATATACTTTCACTTTTGATTCCCCCCATCCCACCCCACCCCCCATACCAATGTGTTCCAGAGGTGGCTGGCTACACACAAAGTAAAAACAGAAAAAATGGTTGAAATAAAACAACCTTTCAAATGTAAACATCAGACATCAACATAATGCAGAATAACCTTGATAGTTGCATGGAGTATAAATCATGCTTCTGCAAATGGAGGCTTTCAAATTTGAACCCTAGCCTATCTCCCCACAAAACATTTAATATATCCACACCATGATGATGAAGAATTTACCTTGCATCACACATTCGAGTATGTCAAGATTGTATTTCACATCAGAAGCAGTCACTACCAATGAAACAAGTGGGTAAGAAACCCAAAGATAAACTTGTAATGTAAGTTTTACATACCGCATGAAGACATGATCCCTGAGAGAAAAGTCAATACGTTATAAACAGGATGAATATAAGAGAGACAAGGAAAGAAACAGTGAGATGAACAAGGAGCAATGAGGATGCATCAGTGGTCTACCATGGATGATGACTGTGTACACAAAACAGGACACAAGTAATCCAAACAAAAAGTGCGATTCGAAGAACCTCTTACTTTGTATGTATCCGAAAATCTTTCTCGGACCTCTGTGTTCTGTGGCGAGGGAATCCATTCTGCGACGAGGGTGTTTGATAATAGTCCCCAGTCTGAGGTCTAACGAGCATTTGTCTCTCCTGCCGAGCAAAACAGGGAACAATCAGAAATGCTCCAATTCTTTGGATTTTTGGTTCATATTTTAACAAATTCTTTTGGTACTGTAATCAATTCTGGATGAAAAAAATTGTTCAAAATGCTAGGTAGACCATTGATGCATAGATTTTTACAAGTTTTTAAATATTGAAAGTTGAAGATAGAAAGGCAACTACATTTTCTAAAGAGTTTGAAATGCAAACTTACCCGTGAAATGTTAACTTCTCTACCATATGTTGGTTACAATGAAAAGGCAGATTTTCACAAACCTACTTAAATAAAGATAGGAGATCCTTATTCTGTTAAATTTTAAAGATATTCCCCAAAACAAGTCCACTTGAGGACTTTTTTAAACATTCTATAGCCACTCCCACTAACACAAACATTAGAAAATCTCCAACAGAAGACATTGGAAGCAATTCCTGTTGAAGACCTCTATGTCCCAAATGAAAGTGCATTATGTCAACACGTTTCGATCTCTATTTACTTAATGCACAAAACTGTGCAAATAAGATTATACAAGTTTGTCAAGACATCCTATAAAGGTCACTCTAAACAAATAATCTTTTAAAGAAAAACAACAAACTGGCAAGAGTGTTTCTTTGTTGTAAAATTAAATTGTGTGATATTTATAAACATTCCACAGACTTCTTTATACTTGAGTGTTGGTGGGGAGCAGGTCCTGAGTATACCATACAACTAACATACCTAAACAACAAGTGTTCTACCCCAACTGAAGCAAATAGTCCATTCCTTGTCATCTTCCTCAACACTAATACAGCCCACCCCTGCCCATCCCTTCAAGCTGAACAAATCCCCCCAGCTCTACAACATAATCCCATACCATCCCACTTTCCCCAACCCCTCACCAGCCCTCCTCAAATCTACCCACTTTTCTGGACTGGTTAGAAACAAAGACAGACCCCCAAAGACACAACCCCAAACCAAGAATGTATGAACACTCTACAGCTTGCCCCTTAACAAAACACACAGCCACACATCTAACAAAAGTCTCTTTTTGAACACCTGTCTGTCCATGGCTAATAAATTCTTTAACATGAAAGAATCCAAATGTCCCATTTCAAGGAAAACAAAGAGGTTTTAACATAAGCATTCATCAATCCAGCTGTATGTGGGATCAGGAATTCAACTTTCAGCCTTGCTGTTGAAAAATTCCCTCCAGAAAAGCTGTGAAAGTTGAGCTATGGAGGGAGTCCCTATGTAGTTATGTGGGGCTAATTGAATCAATGGATGATAGTCTAGGGGGAGGTAACTCTAAGTTACTGTTAGAACTTATTGATTTTTTTAACAAGCTGAGAGGCAGTTGAAGCTTGTTGCTTCTGAGCCCTGGGTGACAGTGTAAGAGGTTACAGAAGGTGAAGGCACTTCACAGGATCTCAAAGTATTCACAGACATGCAAAAAGAAGAAGGCTAACTACAAATAAACAAAACAAAGCCAACATACAACATATTTGTTTTAATTATAAACAGAAATGTGTAACAAGTGCAGCATTTGTCCTATTACAGTCTCTAAATCAGGTTTAAAACCTGTTGAAAGTTTCTACATATGTACAAATTAAGGCTAAGGATAAACTGTTTAATCTTTAACAGTGAACAACCAATATATATCTCTTAAAGATAACTAGATCACATGTTTGTTTATTAACATTTCAGTCCAAACTTCCAGATTCTGAAGCCGCTTTGACTAGACACAATTCCCTGAACAACATATGTTCATAAATAAATTTCTGAAGCAAGGGTTGGTTTGATCTAACAGACTATTCAGTGACTGTTAAACTTTCATAAAATGCTAACGTGGGTAAAAAAAACAGGAAATACCTTTACTTGCTGTTTTTATGAGCAAAATCAATAAAAGAATGCACAAACAACAGCTGTTTGATGAAAGAAAACAAAAATATACAAATAAACAAGCATGGCCATGCAATACAATCAGATACAACATGGTTGCACAAGCTCAAGTCACATGCACTGGCATATAGACTGGCATACAAACACAATATCACATACAGAAAATAAACAAAAACACAAAATACAACATAATCTAAAACAATAAGAGACTGGAAGGGCCTGGGGGACATCAGACTGGTGGCAAGTTTCATCACCATCAGATGTACTCACACAATGAGCATATAGGCTTTTGCTTCCTTCTATGGAGTCTAAGCCAATCTTTCATGAGGGACAGTCTGGCATTGTTGAGGAGAAATCAGGTTTTTTTCCCTCTTAATTAATACAAGTAGGCAATACATGTATGGTGGACAATAATGACGACAAGCCATGCCTGCATGTCCCCTATGACTTGTTACCTGGTTGGGTTAAGTCTGCAGCCTCAAGTACACCCATACCTCCTTAGCCATTATGTCATAGGACGGAAGCTATGGCCGATACACCCTAAATTCCTTCACACCCCACAGTTAAGTCAGTGCCACTGGCTAGCGAATCAATACGTCAATACCTCTCAGAACCTACTACAGGTGACCACTGATGTCATGAGGACCTGTTGGGCTGATTGTGGACCTGCACTTCACATGGCTGGGTCTGTGTTGGGTTTTAAAGGGACAGGGAGTTTTTCAGCTCTCCCAGAACTTAGGCTATCACAACAGTGTATGTATGTTTGCGGTTCGGTCACAGTCAGGAGTTTTGACGTGAGGGTGACTTTTGGTTACCCACTTCAGATATACAGAGTAAAGCCTCAACTACCTCTGCCTCCGACTCTGCCTGCCTCTCTTGGTCTTGGCGGTACTGCCGCTGACGTTCCTCAAACTCCCGCAACCGGCGATTGTATTGGTCGATTTGCTCTCTCAGTATTGCGTCTTCAACCTGCAAATGAAGCAGAGATGTCGTCACCTGCATGCAGTCAGTAGGACAATACAATCAAGTGTGTGCATTCTCAAATCTCATCAAGGGTTTATTAGTCATTTTGGGCAATTTGTGTCAGATTTTGGTAAGGGTTTGTCAGGTGATCAGTGGAGAGGCAGCTGTCATCAGAGCCACACTCACAGAGCAAGGGGTCAACTGTATGGGACTCTTGTCAACACATCCTAACAGTGGCTCCACAGCCAATCTACAAGCCCATGTCTACACAGATTTCCTTTTTCCCTGGAAACTGCGCCATCACCTGCACGACTGTATGTAATTAAACAAATCTGGAATTGGCAAATTATGAGCAAAGTTGGTTGTGTGATTAAGTGAGGTTAAGACAGCTGAAAGTGGGGTAGTGTCTCCACAATGCCAAGCTGAGGGGTGGCAACGAAGAATAGACCAAAAATGAGAAAAAATATTATCAGCTGCCTTGCTTAGAGAACTAACAAAGCCAGTTTTAATTGGTCGAGGTAGCATAATGAGTGTGCAGGCCCCAAAGCTTGGCTGCATATGGTTGCTAGAGGAACATTTGCCCAAACAGATTATAAGGACTCTATCCATAAAGGTGGGAAACTTGTGGACAGCTGAGCTACACCAAGCTTCCACACTCAGCTATTGATTTTTTTCTTTGTCTTTTTGTTCCCATTGTCTGGGAAAAGTTTAATTTTCTTGTTTTGGCAGCCCCAAGTTATGAATTTTATGAGCAGTGTTTGGTAAGACAGCCATCTGACTGCCATGGGTAGCAGGCATGTGCAAGCCCTGCCGACAAGTAAGAGGCATCTGCAAGACTTGCACTTTTTCCTCTCCTAGTCTTTGTCTCCATTGTCTTTGACAGTTAGCTGCCTAGGGGTGGCAGATGGGCAGAGAGTGAGGGTCAAAATGCACAAGTAATTGAGTAAGAAGAAGGGGAGAAGGGCCCCTGCACTTCCCAGTAATACATGGAACACTAGCATAGGGCTTGCCAGCCACCCCAACCAATCTTTTCCCTCTTAGAGCTACTGTGACACCCTCTTAACGCAACATATGGCTTAATTAAAAGCTTCTATGTGAAGTGAAGGAAGGGAGGGGCAGTGGGATGGGAGGGGGGCCTGATTTGGCCAACCTGTCTTTCCCCAACACCCTAACCCCCTTCCCTCTCTCAACCCATCTGTTTTTGGCCCAGACAACAGCAAACCCTATGCAATCATTGGGAACATTGGTATGATGACCCCCTATTTGAGAAGGCTGTTTCCCATGTCTCCCCCCCCACCCTACATTGTCACCCCTAATTGTGGCTTTGGGCTGGCACTATTGGATCACATATTGGTCTAATAAACCCATCACTCTCCCTCATCTCCAATATTGCACTTTTTGCTAGAAAATTGAAAAGTTTTGACTCAAATTTCACAGATTTCCTGGCCAATTTGTGGCAAAACAAATTATACATGTTTTGACAGAATTCCAAGCCATAAATGTGCCTGAGTCTTAATTTGACTGGCAGAAGTCCTACTATGAAATTACAATCACCACATATGGATAGAAGACTTACCCTTTTATTAAACCCTGAATTTCAAATTATTCTAATGGGACCAAAATTCTTGTGAAATTCACTAAAGGTCACATGTGAAAGCACCCTGGTTTAGCTTATGGTGGAACATAATGTCTCATAAAGCCTGACATTAAAATTCTTTGTGCAATTTAAATTTTACAAGCCATATGTCAGTGGTTTTTGAATGGTGATAGCTGTCAAGTCTGCAGTAAGGCTACTCAGACCTGCAGACAGACTCTCTAATACTTTATGGCTTTCCTGGCAGACAGTCTTTAATAAAAAAAAACAGACTTTTCTCACTTTGGGAACAAATGTACCATAATTATCCAAGAGCGCCAACCTGCAGTTTTATTGCTTTTGTAGCAAATTACACCCAAAGATTACTTGAAATGGCTCTTTGACAGTTTCTATAAGTTGCTCATAGAACTTGGTACAAAGTTAATTGGACCATATTTAGAACCAAAATGTCTTAAGAGATCTCAGGGATGATTAAGTAGGATCCTGGAAGGGACTAACACTTGATTCTTTGTTTAAAATGAAAAATACTTCAAATGTGCTTCAAATAATTAATCATCTGTCATTTTTTGGAAACTGGCATTGTTTTCTCATTATGTGCTTAATGTACCTAATCTAGGTGCACAATGACCTGATTGAATGTTTCTGGTGATATCTGAAACTTGGTACACAAGGCACCAACTCAATCAGCCCCTCACTTCCACTGAATTTGAATCTGGTGAATGGTTCAAATTATATGTGATTTTTCTATCTCCCAAAACTGAAGAGTTCCAAATTCTGGCCACCATCTTGGCTTCTTGACACCCTGGCACAGATATTGTTGAGGCATATGTCAGTCACTTATGAAGCCTTTGGCTTGATATTGTGATACAAGTAAGGTCTACTGGCCAAACAGCATGTGGATGGTTACCTTTCTTCACTCATCACATATTGCAATATGTCACTTCATCAGTTAAAGGGGAAAACATCAACATAGCAATCTTATCAGCCAGGATCCAATTTATACTGAAATATTCGTCCAGTTTACCCCTAATTAGGCAACTAATTGCTGGGATATTGAGTTTTATAAACATCTACACAATGCAACATTTTATTTAATTAAAACTCCAAAAATGAGCATGAAAACAGTGAAAAAAATATACAAAATTAAGAATATCCTGATTATAACTATTTGTACTAAGCAACAACATAATCACTTTGGACAGAATGCTGTCAGATTTAATTCATGATTAAACATGCTTCACAGAATTACTTGCATCTGAAGCATCAACCTGTCTGTTGATTTAGCGTTTAATTGGGATTTGCATACGACAATACCTTAACCAGTTACTGAACACTCTCAATGTACTTTACTGATCAACTGTAATGACAGCAAAATACGAATGCGTAGGTATATCTTTCCACATATAAAGGTGTCTCTTTTATCAATGGAAACCTGAATAAAATCAAAGGTGTTATAAGACTGGGAGTACCTCTGCCCTATCGTCGTCGAACTCTAAACACCCGATACCATCAAGTCTTTGAAGGTCGATCCATCCTCGCCACACCACACATACACCGTTCATGATAAACTGGGACTTCAAATGCACCTGAAACATCATATATGACACATTAAGAAAATATTCTTTAAAATATCAAAATGAACATGTTCCTACAAACCCATAAGACATGAGCATCTGGTGCAACGTTCACATATTAAATCCAGACATAAAAAGTGGGCAATTTTTGGGTGTAAACATGCCATGATAATTTCAGATTATGTATAAAGTCCATATTAGTAATTAGTTCTGAGAATTTCATTAGGATTTTTTCATCAAAAGTTATACAACCCGGGACCACAGATTATAATATTACATCCTTCATGTTCCTTTCTTCCCTTTTACAAACAACATTTTTTATGGCACAACATCATATAATCATCTTCCTTTGTCATCAAGTCCATGTTGAACTTTATCATAATCATGCACTATTAGGCAGAAAACAAAATTAAACCTTTCAGCATTTCAATGAAAATTAGAAACAAGCGATCCACAATTAAAGAACAGTTATCCCCATAATGTTATCAGGAGCAGACTTGTCTTTCAAACATTTCATTCTGCGCCACCTCATGCTCTGAGACACTAATTAAATCAGTTGAAAACAAAATGTTGAAGAATTAGATAGGACTTGGTGGCATGTGGGACGGACGCTCTCAGTAGTCGCGACCAAGATCAACATCGCAAATGTTTCCACCTCCACGCTAACCAACCACGCGTCTAGGGAATTCTGGGAGAAGACCACGACTTTACAAAGCCACCAAGTCCCCACAAAGCAATTTTTGGGTCCATCTGGGATTTTCTCAATTTTTAGTTAAACCACAATTTCTGATCATTGTCCCCTATCTAATCTGCATAGGACAATAACAGTGTGTTGAAGTCATCGCGTCACCAAGATTGGAGTATGTGGTTAGGGGGGGTGTGCGATCTTGCCGCTTGCACAATGTCATGGTTTCATCAGCATGATGACTTCTTTCTTGTGTGTAACCACAAGAATCGGAGGCCGATACACCACAAATCTTCCCCCTTCTGAGATTGGATATGGAAATGGAGTTTGATCTTGGAGAATCAAAGTCTATGATATCATGACATCGTTTGTAGATTCTATTTCTTCAACATGTACTCAAAATATAAAAGCCATTTGTCACAACATGTTTTGGTAACTTTCATACTTTACAGTTTGATGAACCTGATTTTTATCTGGACTTAGCCTATCCCCTCAGTCATTAAAAAGATGTCATTATTCTGCAAAAGAGCAAGGGTTCTATCTACTTCAAAACCCAAAAGCTGAAATAATTGCTATAATACAGTACGTATCTTTGCATTTTAAGTGCTAACAAGGGTACTGCTGTATAGATATATGTTATCCAAAGGTCAACGATCCTTTTACCACCAATACCATTTACAAAGTACTGTTTACATACTACTCTACAACAAATGACACAGCAAGGTAAATCAAATTAGATATTGTATAAAGTTTTATATTTTGTTTCTTTTTATAATACTTGAAGTGATTTATTAGAACCGTAAAATTCCCTTCAACTCAAAAAACACCCATATTTGTGACACTGAAATGACTAATCGCAACCACTGATTAAAATCAGTGTGTATGTTTTTGTGTTTGTTGTTAAACATTGACAATGTATACAAACAATTAGTCAGCGTGCTATCACATAGGTGACATTGCTCAATAGTTTATCTCAGTCACTTATAGATTGTACTATGTGGTGATGTGGTATCAACAACGTGGTATCACACTGACACACATCGTAACAGCACATACAAGGGGCAATGGGTGATTGTCTTATCAAACCTGTAGTGGTCACTTAGTTTGGCGGTCTCATTCAATAGGTTACACTGTCTGAGTCTGTTGATGTTTCAAGGCTGTGAGAACGATGCACCTTACACTCATGTCAATGAATACATACTGGAAAGTTGTTTATCTTAAGATAAACATTTCAAGATAAACACAACCAGACTCATCACATAGCAGTGTCATTGTTTACTGTTCCAACTGCCATTATGATAACAATTATGATTCTGTTTATAATCAATGTTCATGACTACTAGGGAAGTACTATGTATTAAATCACTACCAAAAATGATGAAGACAATTCATTCACACCCCTATCCTGTTCTAGATCTGTTAAAGAAGGTCCATGGGCTATTGGAAACACTCCTCAGTATTCTATGCTTGCAACATGTAAGTGGTCAGGGTTGGGGTGAATGCTTGCCATCATACCCTCCACAACACAGGGGGCGGTGGGGTAGCCTAGTGGTTGAAGCGTTGGCTCGTCACGCCGAAGACCCGGGTTCGAATCCCCACATGGGTACAATGTGTGAAGCCCATTTCTGGTGTTCCCCGCCGTGATGTTGCTGGAATATTGCTAAAAGCGGCGTAAAACCAAACTCAGTCAGTCCACAGCACAAGTCTCTGCTTATAATATCAGTACTAGTTTCCCTGATCCAGGTTTCATTATTTACAAGATGCTATCATGAAATTTTAAGAACGAAAAAACAAACACATTGTTCCTGCATCAACAGCAGTTTCAAAAACCTGACATGAATGTCTTTCCTTAGTGTGAACATTTTCCACATGGATTAAAGTGTCCCATATGTGGATAAAGGCTAGGCCCAGTAACTAGTACAGGATACAACTTAGGGCCTCCACTCCCACCACCATGTCCACCAACCCCCACCCCTAACCCTATGCAGTGTCACCACCCTACTTCACTCCTATTCAAACCATCAAGGAAATGGCCTCAGATCTATTTCTTCAAAACCACATTTGTAAGTGCAAACACATTTTCACTTGTTCACACATACGCACTCTAGACTTTGCCCTTGAGCAAATGCACTTTGTACCTATAATGATTGGGAAAGTCCTTGTCAGTACTACCATGTGACAGACATTGTTATAGTAGCGTATAGCACAGTTCGTCATGTCGTATCAGTTGTCAAGTAGCCAAGGTCAGCCGAGCTGGTGAATGTGTCCATGCAAGCGCTGTTTGCTAACACTTTGACATACTTCTCGTAACAGAATGACATTACAGCAAGATACCCCATTAGTCACAGAGTACCACCAGCATATATCTTCCTGGTTACCATGTTTCTGGTGTAAGCGGATCACATGCTTAGCAGATATCCGCTGGCAACAGACATCATTTTACCGGTTACAATACTCAATGATCTAAATACATTCGAGGGGACTGAATATAATGTGACATATCCCCTTAACTACAGTGAATAGGCAAAACATCTTCATGTATCTATTAACTGTTCATATCAACTACACCTATACATGTACTTGTGCTGAGAGTTGGTACATAGGTTCATATGTATATTACATACATATATATTATAACTGATAGAAGTAAATGGTAAAAGATCCAGTTGATCATGTCTTGCTCAGAACCTGCTCTAACCCCTAAATCTCCACATGGAGGAAAGGATGGGTTGCTGGGGAAGTTTTAATTCAGACTTCGGATGGGAAAACAAAAATGGATTACTGGATTACTATATCAACTCAGAATTCCCACAGGGGTTTGAGGTCGAGTTTAATCAGCAAATAAGCATCAATCCATATTCGTTCCTTCAATGAATATTGTGTAATACATGATTTTTAATTTTAGTAATATATTTTAGAAGAACAATGTACACAAATAGCAGATGAATTCAGTAGTTATTAGGCAGCCTAAATTCTCCATAAGATAATAAATATACCATTATAAAATTCATGAGTGGAAGAGATGAGAGCACATCCATCCATGTGTGTAAGAACACTGGTTATCTTAAAGGCCGAGTATGATGAAAGGCTTGCATCATCATGTTTATCACTTATCTAAATGAAATGCCCATCCCCCAGGAGATTACATTGTTCCAGTATCAAGGTAACACAAGGTATAACAATGGCATGTCTGTGTGTATCATCTCCATTTAGAAGCAAAAACATTGTTCTAGAAACAATACATGTCTACTTGAGGCTGCTGCTTCATACATGTATGTCCAGGCAGGTAGGAGGACTGATCTACATGATATATATACATATGATAATGACATACAACCACACAAACCTATTATCAAATACTGGGTCAGTGTTGGATACACTGACAACAAAACACGGTATACATTCTGCCATTATCTGTGTAGCACAGTGTGTCAAATTGTACAGCATTATCTACACTCTTATCAGTCAGTATAAGTATATCTGAAGAGGCATGTTTATACACATCCTAAGCTCCTAGCTGTACCTGGGTACATATCTTGATTGTGAAATACAAGTTCTTCGGTCTATATTTTGAAACAGATCTGAACATTAAATCCATAGGTAGAAAATATGAAATTTGTGTAACCTACAGTCAATTATATAATCATAACAGTCATTCAATTCCTATACACTACTTCGAAACAAGTAACATTCATGAACCAGGGCACCCCCTTCTGCGCCCTCATATCACCCCCTTCTGCGCCCTCATAACACCCCCCTTCTGTACCCTCAAGACACCAGTTCCCCATTGTAAGGCAGTATCTACCATCAACCACTAAATACACCACCATTGTTCTGTTAAACAAGTGCAGGTACAAATCATCACACAAGTCCAAACACCTGCAAGAGATGACCACTCCCAAAACAAGAGTACAACAGGCATGGATTTAAGCTACCTGTCAGAGATCTACTGACTAGGCTGGACTAGACAAAACACAGCCGAGTAACATGTGCTTGTATCAGCCTGGATCAGATTACTGTCCCACTTGCTGCTATCCTCTTACACCAAAATCCTACAACATCCTACTCAGTAAGATACTTTTATAGCTTGAGCCCTTCCTTAAGTTAACCTTGCCATGTGCCGTCCATTGAGTGTCCAAAGCCCATCTCACTCCCTGCTTCACATTCCATGGCCCACCGTCATGGCTTGTAGGGTTTGACCTAGTTTACTTTGTGGGGGCGGGGGCAGGGCTTTCCCATGTAGGTCACATGATCATCTGGGTCACATGACATGGTAGGCATGTGACCAGTCAGCTGATTGAATGACAAATGACCAGTAAGGTCAAAC